TTGTATTTATTTTCTAAGATTTCGTAAGATTAAAGTTTGTTGTTTAATATGATCATAAGCATTTGAAATTAATTCATTATTTTTATTTGTTGAACCTAAAAGAAATTTTGATAACCAATATGTTAATTGTTGAAATTTCGTTTTTTGATTTAAATCTTGAAAAGTATAATTAATCGTATCATTATTAGATTTATAATACCAAAGAAATAATGATGATAAATGATAACGAAGAATTTCAAAATTAGCAACAAGCTCAAAAAATAATTTATTTCGTTCATCTTTGGCTTGTTTCATTAATGGTGGAATATCACCTACTGCTAAACCTACATTTAAATAAAAATTATTGCTTCACTGATTTGTTGGCAAACAACTGAAGAATAATTCTCATTTGAAAGAAAATCGGATTTTAGAAAAGAAGTTTTTCTTTCATATCCAGGTTTCTGGCGATGGAATCGCTTTAGATTTCGTATATTCTCATAGACGAATCCGACAGATTTACCTAAGATCATCAAGGAAAGTATATAGAAACAGTACTCATAAAATTTGCAACACAGTGACCGAAATTTTGTCAACAAAATCCAATACAAATACGTCATTAGGAATTCGATAAGATTATGTCGGATTTGTGAAACTGAGTACGTGAATGATCAATTTTTAAATAGATTCATCGCAACTCTATGCCAAGAGAGCATATGCGAAGATTTGAATAAAAGTTTCAAATGTGTCATTAAAACAAGTAACTGATCTTTTCATTTATACTGTTTGTAACTCGATCAACTTCTAGAAATATTTCTTACCAATAAGAAGATTTGTAACTAAAATACTCATTAAAACAGCAAATATTAAATAAATAAAATGTCCAAGTTTATAATATGCAATTGTATCATTATTATACATTTGATCTTCATAAGTCATTTCTCCTGTTAACATTAATGCTATAATGAAAATTTGATAAAATACAGATAAAATAGAAAGTAAATAATATACCTGTTTTGAGATAAGATAAACCAACATTATTAAATTCATTAAAATTATTAAAAATCATATAAAAAGTAAAACTGAATCCACTAATTAAAATGATTAAAACAATCAAAAATTTCATAAATTTTTTACAAATAACCCAAAGTACAGAAACATAAATTCCAATAATAGGTATAAATTGAATATAATGAAGTAAACATATCCAACTAAAAAGTAAAGAAATTGCTCCATATTGCCATTGATATGGACAACGAAATGTTAGATTCATTTGATAAGTTTTATCATAAATAAATAAAAAACTTAATATAACGGCAATCATTTCTGACCAATTTGCCCAAGTTTTAATAAAACTAATTTGTATAATTTCAATAATTATTAAAATATTTTTCAAAATATGTAGCCAAATAATAATATAAAAGAAATATTTTAATATAAAATCAATTGTTGTTTTTCTTCCACTTATATCTAATAAATTTTTATTTAATATTTGTGAAACATTAAAACATAATGAATTATCAAAATTAGAAATATTTGTTTGATTATAATATATTGATGGATCTTTTGTACGTAATATAATTGTTGTAAATAAACTAAGATATATAAGATATAATAAAACAAATAAGCCAAAAATAAAAATACCAAATTTATGAAATTTTTCTTTAATCAGATAAGAACTAACTGGATGTGACATAAGATCAGGTACTTCACAAGATTCCATCATAAATAAGGGATGATTTCTTACAAGATCAACTTTATTTGAAGTATATAACGTACTTAGAGATTCTATAGATTCTTTATGAACTCCAAAATTACCTTGAAAAAAAAAAGAAAAATCCAATTTTAATTAAATAATTTGAAAATAATTTACCTTCTTCCCAATCTTTAACAGTATATTGATCTTCAAGAAGTTCAAAAACCAGAATCATTTTAAAGACGCTTGTTCCACTCTGACCAACTGTCATTGAACATTTATTAAGCATATATAAAGCCATTTTAGGCATTTTACGAATAAGTTTACGCATTGGTGTATCAACTTTATATCTTTTACCAAATAAAGAACGCCAACTACTAGGTTTTTCATGAATTTGTGCATTACGCATTAAATCAAATCCATTTTCATCGTCAAGTAAATATTTAACAACATCTTCATTTTGTTGTACAATAGCTACTTCAAGACAATTATAACCTTGAACATTTGTTGCAAAAAGATCAGCGCCAAATTTACGTAAACGTTTAATTAATTTTTTTGAACCATATTCACATGCAATATGTAATGGTGTTTCTCGACGAATATTTAATGCATTTATATTAGCTTTACCATAATTAACAAGTATTTCAATGCATTCAGTTCGTTCTTTATTATCATCTTGATGAATACTACATCGTGATGCATCATGTAATGGTGTCCAATCATTTATATCACATGCATGAGCATCACCATCATGTTCCAAAAGTATTCTTAAAATATCAGCATGACCTACAATAGAAACAGACTTTAAAGAATTCTAAATTCTTCGAAAATACTAAAATTAATGATATCCATATTCTCATCCCTTAGTGCAGAAAAAAAGTGACGACTTATTTAATAGAAATCATATTTACAATTATTTTCTCTCATTCTATATTATTGGCCAAGTTATGAAAATAAGGAAAGATCAATTATGACGATTCGTTTCTCAAAAAATATCATTTTCATTATCAATCAAATTAAAAAATGACGTTGAAATAATTAAGAAATATTCCGAAAAAACAATAATCAGTCAGATAAAAGTACAAAATAAAATACGCGGTACAGTATTTGCCTATGTGTACATATACTATTCATTCGTTTTTCCTATTCATTTCTTTTAGAAAATTTGCTATAATTTTCTATTTCTAGTCATATTAAATGAGCAAAATAACAATTGTGACATCAGGACAATACATTGTATGTTGATTTTGATACTGGATCAGATGATCTTTGGATAGCAACTGTACAATGTAAGAAATATTTAATTAATAGTGACATTCTCTTGTATTTTATTTGTGCCTTAGATTGTTTGTGTACCTATTGCTGAACAATCATCTGCCATGACTACTTCTGCTGTTGGTATGAGTTATCAAAATATGGCAGCTGATGGCGAAAATTCAGTAGTATAGGCAATGCATCTTGCTGATAAACTAAGTCTTCCAGTATCAGTTTTTTTGTTTGGATCAAAACGCGCCCTCCATGAAACGATCGAGGCGTCTAGACATGGTTTATTCAAATTTGAACATTAGACAAAACATCTATCAATTCATTGTGGATTCGAATAGAGTTGTCGTCAACATTCTATCTTGCCAGTCTTACAAGCTAGTTGTATTTTATTCTTGCAAAACTATTCTCTACGAGAAAGAAAACGCCTCTAAACTTCAAAATCTTATCTATTTGAATAAACTATCAGAGAAAAAAGGAGCTATTTTCCAATGAGGAATTCTACTACTATAAAATCACAAAAATGATCTCTACTTGTTTGAGTTTTTAATAAGTAGATAACTTAACATTAAATTATCTTATTTGCTTACCTTTTTCTGCGGCCATATGTAAACTTGTACGTTTTTGACCATCACATGCATTGACCACAGACTGGTGAGAATATTTAAGTATTTCTTTGATAACATTTAAATTTCCATTATAAATAGCTACATGAAGTGGTGTATGTTTATTTTTATTCTTTTTATTCAATATTGTATAAATATATTCATTTGTAGAGATTTGTCTATTAATATCAGAATGTTTATCACTTAATAATTTCAATGGTATTCGATTGTTATTATTTAGATTCTTTATATTTGAGGATGTTGATGAATATGAAATAATATTCATTGAAGAAGATATTTGTTTAATATAATCTAATAATATTTTGATCATAAATGCATTACCAACTTTTGCACAAATATGAAGAGGAGTATCACCTAATATATCAACAGCAAGTACAAGTATTTTAGTCATATAATGAGCTTGACATAATAGTTTTGTTATTTCTTTTTCATTTGCTTCTGCACAAAAATGAAATGCTGTTCTTAATGTAATATAACTAACTAAATCAATAACATTTTGTGTACATTCTTTATGAGAAAGTAATTCTTTAACACATTCAATTTGACGATGTTGAATAGCAATCATTAATGGACTAGATCCAGTATATTTATCTTGATACATAATACTATGTTTATTAATAAGATGCGAAACCATTTTATGTCCATGTAATTGGCGACAAGCAAAATGAAGTGTATTTAAATGAGGATGAAGTATATGTTGATATTGTCTTTTTAAAAACGATAAAACTTCATCTTCTCGATGGCGAACAGCAGCATTTATTAATGTCGCCGTTCCTTTTTTAATATCATTTCTATTAATTATTCTTAATTCTTCAATCTCAAAAAAATGTTTAAGAATATCAAGATTTCCATATTCAGCTGCGATATCAATCGGTCGTTTTTTATCTTTTGTTTCACATTCAAATAATTTTGGTTCATTCAAAAACAATCTTATTAAATCAATATTTGGGTGAAAACGACAAGCATAATGAAGAGGAATAGCTCCTTGAATATCACCAATCTAAAATAAAAAAGAAAAGCAAAGTCAAGATTCATTTAAATAAACAAATGAATTTACATCACATTTAACTCCAGATGAGATAAGATACTTTGCATTTTCATAACAATTATACATAATAGCAAGATGTAAAGGTGTTCGTCCTTCACTGTCTCGAATGTCTTTATTAACTTTTGATTGATTTAATAAATATAATAAAATAGAAGAATCAATCTAGGAGAAAAAACAATTTATTAACTATTTCAAAGAGTTACTTTCCACTTACAGTTTGATTTGGTTTGTTAATATCTGTTAGACGAGCAGCAATATGAAGTGGTGTTTCACCATCCCAACCAATTAAATTAACATCTTGAAAACAAAAGAATGACTAACTATTCTAGTGGCAGAATCAGGGAGCGGGTAGATGAAACCCAATTCTAGTACCGTCTTCGGGTTGCAAGCGAATGAAGCGGTTTATTTTTCAGTGTTGGTTTTTAGATTTTTAAGAAGATTTTCTAGGAACAAAAGCTAATTTCGACGTCTAACATCACTGAAAAAACTGTTTTTCTTAGAAAGAATTGAGACGTGGTTTTGAAGCTGAGGTGGTCTATCCCAAAATCAATTCTGGCTCTATGATTGAAATAGTTTATTGATATTATTTTAAGAGGATCTATATAGTATGATATTCTGATTGATTTTTATAATTATTTTATAGAAATGAGTAACTTACGACAACCATAATTTTCGATAATAATTTGACAAAAAGGAACATTATTAAATGTAGTTGCATAATGTAATATTGCATATTGATCAGCTTCATTAAGTTTTTCTAGTATTTTTGTCATTTGTGATTTATTATAACCATGATGTTTTTCTATTTTTTTTAAATGATCAACTATGCCTTGTTTTGTATAACCACGAGATGCTTCTAATTTTTCAACAATATCTTCAAATTCTTCATTCGTATATTCATGACCAATTATTGATTTATTTATATTTTCCATATATTCATCTCTATTATATCTTTTTGTATCGATAAGTTCTTGAAAATGTTTAATTCCATAAGAACAAATATTTGGAATTGGAGAACATGCGATCTAAATTGATATTTATTCTAAAATTCTATTTTTTATCATTGCATTTCAAAGGTAAATTTGTGAGATACATAGAAAAATAAGAAATAATTTATCAATATGTATCAATCTTTACTTTATCGATATTTTTTACAACTTTTAATAAGTTTAAATACCTCTTTCAACTCCACAGTAATATTATGATGAGCTGTTTTCGTTGTTTCTTCATCATCACTGTAATCCATTTGAGATATATCAAGATTTATCACTGAATACAAAGCATTTGACACCATTTGATATTTAACTAAAATAAATTATGTAAAATTTCATTTCTTATAACAAGAATAACGAAAAAACATGATATTGATTTTTTAAAATCTAGAAACGATATCAATTATGAGAATAAATTGTGAATAGAACAGAAAGAAATAACATAACTATTAGTATTTTTTAAAGTCATAGTTACATTATTGAGCGAAAGAGAGAAACCTATCCTTGAATAAAAAGTACATAGGAGTAACCTTTGAAGGAGAGAAAAGAAAAAAATACAGAAATGGAATTTAGAAATGGAATTATGAAAAAGAAAATTAATGTGAATCTATCGACATACACTAATGTAAATATTTATATATATATGCTTAATTTAGTTTGTATTCAACTATGAATCAACTTAGTATCGTCAAAGGAAAAAAAACAAGCAGAAAGTTACTGAACTGTAAACGTTTTATTTCTTTATAGAATTTTTATATTTGTATCTTTGAAATGAACAACTTAAATATGCATTTGATAGATTGAATAGTTTAATAAATAATTTCAATTCTCGTTTCATCTTTTTCTCTCAGTGAATTTATTAAAGATTATCTATTCTTTTCTGAGTAATAAAATCGATAAGTAACGATTTTATGATCGAAAAATAAAAATGATGTATTTTATTTGATTGATAAAAAGGAATATCATGTTTGTTGGTGACATCAAATATGTACTAAAAAAAGTAAGTTATTAAACAGGTACAGATCCATATGACTAAGGCATATGCTTTTTGTGCATTCACCAACGATAAAATATTTGTAGATATAAGTGTTAAAATCGACTTTCTTCACTAATAATGCATTTGATAAGGAACTAAATATTAAACTGTTCCCGTACACAATGACTTATTCTAGAAGAAATATTATTTGATCAACAAAACGATATAACAAATATAAGTTAGTGTGTATGTGGCGATTTGTCATGATTGTCGTCTGATTTAGGTCTAATACCACTATCCATATGAGAATTTTGTTTCTCTTCTTTGTTCAGTCCATTGACATCCATATTGACAACATCATTATCATCATTTTTATTTTGATTGATAGGAGAACCTTCTGCCATGAATTCTTCACCACTCGAATGTATGGTATCTTGGACATAACCAATGAATTCGATCGTGAACCACATCATAATGAGAAATCAAAAAGTTCGAATGCTGTATAGACACAGGCTTGACTCCTTTCGGCACACGTGTAGATTTCTCACGATTTATCGGATGTTCACAATATTTTTGTCTTGGGATCGAGATAAAATTTTGGAAAAGAAAAGGTGCTACTGAGCAATCAATATCTTTACTAGTATTCAATGATTCATTCCGTAATTTTATTCATTTAAGATCAGGACATTTTTAGAAACACATCACGTTTTAAATTTAAAGATATCCTTACACAGAAATGGAAAATCTATCGTTTCGATAACAATGTCCTTTTCGACTGCGCTCTCTTACTTCTGTGAGAACGCTTCACGAAGAGCCTTTCTAGTGATGTGAGCAAAGTCATCAGTTCCGCACCATTTTGAGAGCAAAGTATCATCAAAATTCTCGTACTCTATAACGAAAATAAGACAAGATTTCTTCAAATTGATTGAATCTAATTCACATTCATGCAATAGGACAATTATCATATACATAGAAATTGACGTGCCACATATGAAATTCAATAAGATCAGTCTGATTCCTACCAGAAAAGATGTTTCTAGGCTTGTTTGATATTTATGAGTGCTAGACAATTCCGAAAAAAGAGCTTTTGATGCAGTTTCAGACGTTTTCTGTCATTTTTTCTATCTATGAAAAAACGCTAAGAAACTCGAGGTTTTCCGCAGGCAGGACCCGACTTTTTTCACCAAGAGTGTTTTCTAACAGAGATCGGATGTTTGAGCAGAAAAAAAGTCGAAAAAAACCTTTCCAAAAAGTGGATGGGTCCTCATGGATTGACCCAAATGTCAAATGATACATTAGCGAAATTCACATGTGTCAAATGTAATCCGAATCCATTGAGTTAAACTTATGAAATTTATGGAAATGTTGCAAGTAATGGATGATTATTATTGGTGTTCGTAGTAAATTTAGATTAATATTAAAAATATGCTTTTGTAGTTGGGTGTTTGTTCCAGTTGGACTCATAAATCGGAGTTAGAGTTGCTTGTTTGCGGAGTTGCCTATCTCTGGTTGGAATAGCGAGTGGCCTCGTGGTAGTGAAGCTGATGGACTGAAGTATGTAGATGAGGATGCCTGGAAAGAGATATTGACTTAGAGGAGACTGAGATTGATGATTGACGTTCTATATTTTTGACTCTTGTCTATGCTTCTTGGCGCATTTGATATGTTGTGTATGGTTGTGATGTTGTTCGATTGAAGTGGCCCTAGTGCTTATTGTATTGCGTCATCGTTTCTTTCTTCTTATGGCATATTGCATTGGTAGTATAAAATTGAGGTTTTTATATGCCACTCCAAAAAGAGTAGGAAAAATTTAATATTTTGTTTTCGAAAGTTACTCAAAATATCTGCGCAAAAACATTTGAATTGCTTCTTCATGTATGAAATTGTTAGATCAATTTGTCTCACAATTGGGGCGCGAAAAATATCTGTCCTCCACGGTCGAGGGTTAAGTGAGTCGGCACGACAAGTGTTACTTGTCATTTCTGCGTGTAACAACGAATCAAACTAAAAACATTATGCATAACTCGCGACTATAGTAATCCTTCTTTCCTGCACATTTCGATTTATATCTACGATAAAAACGTGTTTACCTTGTAAGATGGTTAGAAATCAACATAAATGCATAGATTGAAAACAATCTTCTCGCTGTTACAATCGTCAGGTAACGTCAACGATATTTATGTATAGAACGGGTTGTTGACCATCCAATATGTATACATATATCCTTTCGAATCGATACGAAAAGAGAATCAGTTCACATTCCCTTCGAGAAGAATACGAAGATTCTTGTTGAGAATTCTGTGTCAATCAAAGAAGAATTAAAAAGATGTAAATCGAAAACAATGTGATCTCAATGAATTCGCTGGTAATCAGAGAATTTTGTAAAAGATATTTTAGAACTTTTCAAATAAAAACAAAATTGAATTTTGGGCGGAATGAAATAAACGAATTGAGAGTTTTATTTAAAACAAAACTTTCCAGAGCGACTTTTACATGCATTAAAGAATCACTTGGCAATAAAAAAAGGTTTTATTACAAGTCAACTATTAATTGTTTCTGTATCGGATAAAAAATTTGTACAAGATAAAAATAATTCTACGATGGAATAAAGAATATCTTGCCTTTATGTATAAAAATTCTGGATATTATGATTGAAAGAATTGTACAACTGAAAATACCTATTGTGCAGAAGGAGAAATGAGTATTCGAACGGATCGGGATCGATTGATCTTTATATTTTCGGAATTATTTCATTTAGTTTTTCATCAAATAGGGAAAAAATCTTCTCAAATTATTTGCCGTATTCTTCATCGATTTATCAAGAAAATTGCATAGAAAAAAATGAGTTTTTGCCCATTTTGTTTTGTATCCGTTGTTATTATCGAATGAATTGTTTGTATTTCGTAAAATATAATAGGAAGGAAGAGATATTTTACGTCGACTTGGAAGAAATATCACAAGTGAAAATACACACGAAAATTTTCAAAACTATTTCGTTATTTGTTTGTGATGTAATCAACGAAAAACGAATGATTTTTTTCATCTTTAAAAACTCACATTTCTCTCATAAAACTTTTCATTGCGCACAGAATGGCATTAGCAAATAACAAAACACAAATTGACATTTTCTTGTTCAGATCAATTCTGTTTTGAACATTCAACACAAATCAATCAATAGGAAAAGAATTCGATAAAGTTGGCTCAACAATGTCGACGAACATTTATAAAAAAAATACGGAGGATTTCGCGGTGATATTCAAAGGACATCCAACGAATTTTATTAAAGAAATCAAAGAAATTCAAGAAGAAACTGAAGTGAGCGAAAAGATTTTGAACAATTTCAAAGAAAAATGAACGGAAACTACAAAAGAATCTCCTGCATCAGTCTTTTCTCATTCACAATGCCACTGAATGAATTCACATCGTACAGAAAATAAGTTTGCGTTTCCTTTTTGTAGAATCAAAGATCAGAAAATGAAACTATTGTTGCTGTTGGAAATGGAAAAGGAGGTCAAACATAATCAGTTCAAGTGTTCAACATTGGTCTTTGCTGATAATAAACAATCTGTTTATAATTCTTACATTATCGACTTGTCATATATCGATAAATAATATCCAGACAAGAAAAGAAATTCAAAGGATTATCTGTTCTTTTATTCATATAAAAAAAACAGAAAAGACTATAAAACAATTCTTCTCATAGTCGTTGATGCTTGATCGCAGATATTTATCGATACACTTTTTTAAGTGAATTTTCTATGAGCCGTACCCACGTTGAACAATCCCACCCTCGGGTCCCATCGGACCCAATATAGGATTTTATCAGATCCTACAGGAATTCGACGGATCCGATGAAATCCCGGTGACGGAATCGCATTGGATTCCGACGGTCTTGGATTCGATCGGATTCCATGTCAGATCTCGTCGGATCCGAAACATGGTTTTCGGGGATTTTCTAAGAGTCATCATAGAACATAGCTAAAGAGATCACTCATAAAATTTGCAACAACCGATGGGTTTTTTCTAGTCGGATTCCAATGCAATTCCGTTTCCAGGAATTCGATCGGATTTTGTCGAATGGTCGCATCCGGTAAGATCCGATCGGATTTGTTGACCTGGGTATTGGTTCATCGATTTTTTCTGATAATAATTCACTAAAATAAAAAACGGTGATCAGTATCGGTTCAGAATGCGGGATATTCTTACTGATTATTTTTCATAAAGAAATCTTGGTTAAATACACCTGAGAAACCTTTCGGGCCATAAGTCTAGAAGTGTCAAACAAGCATGGTTAGATATAAAGTGAATTCAATACATACGAATAGAAAAAGTAAACTTGTAGGATCGAATCGAAATTCACACGTAATTTTATCATTTTCTTTTACGTAGTCGATAACGATCAGACCAGCATGAAAAATCTCCCACGGAATGAATTCACTGGCCTAAAAACAAAAAGGAATATTTTCTTTGACGGAATTTTCTCTCACTTCATTCTTGTAAATGACCTTCAGTCCTTCTCGAATGAACAGGTAATGCACTACCGGGATAAATTTTGTCATGGGATGTAAGCTGTAGTAGAGAAGATAGAAGTTTAGCAGTGTAGATAGAAATGCATACTTCTCCATGTTCTAAAATTATCGATTAGAATAAGTGTTTTAAAAAGAGAAGTTTTTTTTCTTTTTAAATGGTCATCAATGAAAAATAAAATCAAAATACGAATTTTCCGAAGTTATACGTGTGAATACCCAGGTCGAACAATCCGGCACGGAAACGGCCGGTTCCATGGTATTCCGAAGATTTCATGGAAGCAGTATTCCCGATGAGCGGATCCGGTGACCAGATTTATCGGTTTTGGACCGGAACCGGCAGAAACATGTCAAAACCGGTAGCCGGAAATGGTTACCGCTCTTCCCCATCGGATTCCTGGCATTTTCCGGGCGGTTTCCGCTCAGAAATGGCGAGTTTCCTCAGGGATTTTGTCGGAAACTCATGGAATCCTGCTTCAGCAATCGTCATCCTGGGTATTCACTAGAATGAAGATCGAATAGAAAGAAGATCACATTCTCTCGAGATATCGACTAATTCAAACGATAGAACATGTGTGAATGAATGAATTCACTATTTCTGTTTTCTCTTACGATAAATCTTTCCGCGAACAATACGTATTGCATCATTTTTCTGTTTCGACTGATATATAACTTTACGCAGTTTCTCTTTTCAATCTTGTTAAATGTCTTCGTTCTCCCTCGATATATTCTCACTATTGCAATCGACCCGATTGTTCGTATTTAACCGTTGCGCGGTACCGACCGGGGTCATTTTTATCTATTCTGTTCGAGGTATACAAGAAAAAACAAAAATAGTCCCTACTGCAAGAATTAAAAACAAGCTTTTATCGATTTCTTGATAAATGTCGAAATCCCAGACTGAATTTTTTGAATAAGTTTTCTCTTTTCACAGATCTATGAAAAAGTCCACAGGGGAAACTTTTACATCTGTAAAACAAAAGTTAGGCAACAGATCCAAAGGATCAGTTCGTTCAAAGTAAAATATCTCGAGTCCGCATTGAATCAAACTAATGGTGATAGGATCGTTTTTTTCCCAAATTCTCCTTTTAATCTTTCAAATCAAGAACTTCGATGTAATACTTATCTCCAATTTACTTCTCAAGAATCAACAGATTTTTCTCTTTGACATAGTTCACCAAGAGGAACAAACAATATACATTCCACGGATTTTCGAAAGTGATACACTCTAAATTATCATATCCTTAACCGGAGAGTTCGCTGTGATCGCAGACCAACATTTTTTTCTAACGTAAGTGCTTTTCACTTGCCTTCAGCGATGAGTTGTCTTCATGTCAACCTTAAGTAGTAGATAAGATGTTCAAAATCAATCATTTATTCAAACAGAACTTTCGAATTATCAGTATGAAACTGTACTACGAAAATACCCTTTGAAATGTTTTGAAGGTCGAGATATTCAAAATGAAGAATATAAACAATTGACATTTGAGCAATTAATTCTTGTTTCGATTTTTCGAAAATCATCTATAACTCTTTGTATAGCTTCATAAGCAACATTAACATTAATACTGAATGTTAAAGATGTTTTTGTGTCCAAAAGAAATTCTTCGATATAATCATCATGAACCAGCAAAAGATCAAGTGAACTAAGATGTTTGTAATGAATTAATGGCAAACAGTCATTGGTATTTTTTGACTTTTCATTTTGTGCTTGCCTATTAACGACACTTAACTCTTCCAATAACGGAAATGACTTTTGAATTCGACGAAAAAACTGAGGTTCAAAAGGTCGCCCGTCGAACAAAGATACTTTCCGAACAGATGGAAATAAGCCATCTTGGAAATTATTTGCAATCCGTTCATAGCTTGTTAAAGGAAATGGTAATGTTTATACGTAACATTGGCTTTCATTTCTATTTAGAAAATAATCAACACAAGAAACAATGTTCTCAGTTAGAAATTCGAGAAATGTCTTCTGAACGTCTTCATTTGTTAAGAGATTCATTTTGTCATAATCACGAATAGTCGAATAAATTGCAAATGCAAACGTCTTTAATCGGGGGAAAAGCTCGATAACATCCGCTTTCAAATCATTTCCATCGACGAATGATTTTCGACGAGAACATGCCATACACAGACGAAGTTCTGCTAGTTTTCACATACGATGCAACAATGGTACAAGAAACTCGTCATAACAATCAATTTCAAATAAATTTGTGAATGAGAGAGATCGTAGATTTGATGGATTGACCTAAAAGATAAGAAACGATTTGGGTGTTTAGAAAAACTGAACTTAACGTTACTTGACCAAAATCTAACAGTGAACGACTACGGCTCGAATACATCACTTTAACATTAAACACGCAAAGCTGATCAAAACGACCGTCAAGAATGTAAAGACAATCATCGATCCAACGCAATTGAATCGACGATTCTCTCAATGTTGAAGAATAAACAGATAAATGAGTTTTACTCATTGTAGTGATCTGATGATAAACCTTAAATGGATTTAAATCGAGCGATTTTAAATTAGAAAACATGTGAATCAGATTTTTAAATATAAGTTCATTGAGATCAAATCGATAACCAACATCACCAGTAGTTTGAACAGCGAGGGATGAGATTTGTTTTCTCAATTGATGACATAATAAGGTTTCATCTAGATTAATGAAAATGTTTTTATTCAAAGATTTTCCAAATATTAGATCCAACCAGAGAGAAGATGCAATGCATAGGTTTTTGTAATCCCATATACACCAAGTCCAGATAAATGCAGAAAATTTCCAGAAGAAAGAACACGTTCTAAAGATGATCCTTCGAGGTTCATCCATTGGATATTGTGTTCGATAGCCGGTAAGACCTGCGAGCAGAACCGGTCGAGTACTAACGACGATAACGAACAGATATCTGGAGGTGAAAATTTCTCTAATAATGTTAAAGTATTTGTAAAGATAGAAGGGTATAAAACGCGATCTAAACGCCGATGGGCACCTAATGGCGAATAAAATATTGACTGTGTTTGGTTCACTGACTATTCGAAATATTTACTAATTCAGAAGAGAGAAGCACTCATTGATCAACAATACGCGCGAATGATCGTAATCTTACACAAATATTAGTAATTCAAGTAAATTCTATCCTTTCGTTTTTGTCGAATTCAGACTTACATTTTAAAGGTACAAATTCAGAACAGAAAATGGTATTTATTAGTTATATGTATTTGTTTGATTATGGCACTCTGCTTCTTCTACCAATACTATATTTCTCCTTTCGAAAGATGAGATATTGGCTTTTAGGATGGATAGGTGTGGATATGGTGATTGTATCTACTATCATTTTAATTCTTATGTGCCTGGCTCTGTCGTCTTATTTTCAAGATTTTTATCATACTTTAATGCGAGTATGACATGTGTATCGATTCCTCAGCATTTCATACTGTTCTATGTCTTACGGCCTGGACAATAAGTAATATTTGTCAACATTGAACAGAACACCAAATAGCAGTTGTGATTATTTTTTGATATTATCTATTTTCAAGAGTTTCGAAATGATCTCGATCTACCTCATAAGTCTTTTCGTTATTTTACTTTCGACTAAGAGTGTGTGACAGTGACAACTATACGTGAAGCAGAATCTATTTGACTTAAAAGCAGATTTACTGATTCAAATGTGAAATGTTCTTATCGTTGATATTTAGAAGAACATATTACCAATCATTTCATTCTTGTCTTGTTTGATTTTTCATTTCTGCATATAACAACGAATCAAACTAAAAACATTATGCATAACTCGCGACTATAGTAATCCTTCTTTCCTGCACATTTCGATTTATATCTACGATAAAAACGTGTTTACGTTGTAAGATGGATAGAAATCAACATAAATGCATAGATTGAAAACAATCCTCTCGCTGTTACAATCGTCAGGTAACGTCAACGATATTTGTGTATAGAACGGGTTGTTGGCCATCCTATACATATCTATATATTATAAACGGTTTACTGTTAAAACACCGAAAATCAAATTGTCGAAAGACAAATTGTTCAAAAACAAATATTGAGCATGAGAAAAGTTTAAGCAAAAAACGTAAACAATAATATATTTTGTTTTATGTTATACAAAGCGACGCTTTGAATATTTTATTTTTCGATATTATCATTTTAGACAATTGTCTCATCGTGATTCGTTTTCGACATTTTGATTTTCTGTCTTCTCCAGTCTTCGGTTATAAATGTTACTCCTATTGCATATATGAAAACAAAAGAATGTACTGTTGTTCGTTTTATCGGTTGAGTGATAAGCCTATAACTTGCATGAGAAGAAATACACCTTTTTGCGATGAGGGCTCCTCAACATCGAATATTTTTACGAAACATTTGGAGAAAATTAAACCACGCTTCGATGATTACTATACAAAGTACAGATACAAAAGTCATTCTCTTTGGAATGTTTACCTTTTCCCTATTTTCATTTTATCTTTCGGTTGTTTTATTGATCGCTGTAGCTTCGATTTGAATCGTTCTCAAACACAGATCAACAGTAATTATCACGGCTGTATGAATCATATTTGAAATCCCGTCACAATCAAAAGTATGATCGAGAAATTCTTTTTTCTATAAAACATTGATAGAATATCTATGAAACTATCAATAGTTTTGTAAAATTCTGCGAGGTAGTGGAACGTCAAATTTGAACAAGGAGAAGAGTGAAACTGAAGTATACGAGGACGACTTATAGCTTGAAATTTGTTTATGTGAAATGTTCATGGTGAACTGAGTACGTTAAGAGCATACGAGTCGAGTTTTCTTTATCAATACATAACATCGTTTACGAACGAGAAATTGAAGTCGAGACTACTTTCTATCTTTTACTAGAAAAACAGTTTTTCTTATCAGCACGAATAAAGGAAATGTAGTGACGCCTTATTGACTTGCCTAAGAATATTTTTGCTAATAAAGATATTTCATACAGTCCTCATATACTGTACCTTTCACGAAAGACTTCTGTGACAAAAGACGAATGAAATAATCACTTTTAATCTAACGCTCACGATATGATACAATAGTTTTAGTCAAATTAAATCTTATTTACTTTTTTCGTTAGAAGCACAAGTTGCATCGACATTTTCAATTCGATAGCTTAACCTGATGGACTACGATAACAAGAGCAAACTGCACACAAGAAATATTCACAATCAAACTTCACCAATGTTCAATTTTCACGACGATAATGTGATTTTTGAGCCTCAACAAATGTATGATCTACGAACTCGTTATGAAGAACCGCGTAAAAAGACAAGAAATGTTCGTACACAAACTAAGGATGTTACTATGTTCTCTAATGAGCTTCGCGGAATGGACTCTCAGACTTTTATAATAGATATCGATGATAAAAGGTTGAACAAGTCATTATACACTATTGACAATGATGGTGGTATGGGAAATAATTGAGATGTTGAAATTGATGTAAAAGANCTATTTGACTTAAAAGCAGATTTACTGATTCAAATGTGAAATGTTCTTATCGTTGATATTTAGAAGAACATATTACCAATCATTTCATTCTTGTCTTGTTTGATTTTTCATTTCTGCATATAACAACGAATCAAACTAAAAACATTATGCATAACTCGCGACTATAGTAATCCTTCTTTCCTGCACATTTCGATTTATATCTACGATAAAAACGTGTTTACCTTGTAAGATGGATAGAAATCAACATAAATGCATAGATTGAAAACAATCGTCTCGCTGTTACAATCGTCAGGTAACGTCAACGATATTTATGTATAGAACGGGTTGTTGGCCATCCTATACATATCTATATATTATAAACGGTTTACTGTTAAAACACCGAAAACCAAATTGTCGAAAGACAAATTGTTCAAAAACAAATATCGAGCATGAGAAAAGTTTAAGCAAAAAATGTCAACAATAAGCAATGCTGAAAATTCCGAGGTGCTACTCTTACTCTCAATAATCATATATTTTGTTTCTATTTCATACAAAAGCGACGCTTTGACTATTTTATTTTTCGATATTATCATTTTAGACATTTGTCTCATCGCCATTAGCTTTCGACATTTTGATTTTCCGTCTTCTCCAGTCTTCGGTTATAAATGTTACTCCTATTGCATATATGAAAAAAAAAAGAATGTAATTTTGTTCGTTTTATCGGTTTAGTGATAAGCCTATAACTTGCATGAGAAGAAATACACCTTTTTGCGATGAGGCCTCCTCAACATTGGATGTTTTTACAAAATATTTGGAGAAAATTAAACCACGCTTCGATGATTACTGTAAAAAGTACAGATACAAAAGTCAATCTTTTTGTAATTTTTTACCTATTTTTATTTTATCTTTCGGTTGCTTCATTGATCACCATAGCTTCGATTTGAATCGTTCGCAAACACAGATCAACGGTAATTATCACGGCTGTATGAATCATATTTGAAATCCCGTCACAATCAAAAGTATGATCGAGAAATTCTTTTTTCTAAGGAATATTGATAGAGTATCTATGAAACTATCAATAGTTTTGTAAAATGCTGCGAGATAGTGGAACGTCTAATTAGAACAAGGAGAAGAGTGAAACTGAAGTATACGATGACAATTTATAGCTTGACTACATTTGTTTACTGTGTTTATCGTTGAATTTGTTTATGTGAAATGTTCATGGTGAACTGAGTGCATTAAGAGCATACGAGTCGAGATTTCTTTATCAATACATAACATCGTTTACGAACGAGAAATTGAAGTCGAGACTACTTTCAATCTTTTACCAGAAAAGCAGTTTTTCTTATCAGCGTGAATAAAGGAAATGTAGTGACGCCTTATTGACTTGCTTAAGAATATTTTTGCTAATAAAGATATTTCATACAGTCCTCATATACTGTAATTTTCGCGAAAGACTTCTGTGACAAAAGACGAATGAAATAATCACTTTTAAACTAACGCTCACGATATGATACAATAGTTTTAGTCAAATTAAATCTTATTTACTTTTTTCTTTAGAAGCACTAGTTACATCGACATTTTTAATTCAATAGCTTAACTTGATGGATTATGATAACAAGAGCAAGCTTCACACAAGAAATATTCACAATCAAACTTCACCAATGTTCAATTTTCACGACGATAATGTGATTTTTGAGCCTCAACAAATGTATGATCTACGGACTCCTTATGAAAAACCGCGTAAAAAGACAAGAAATGTTCGTACACAAACTAAGGATGTTACTATGTTCTCTAATGAGCTTCGCGGAATGGACTCTCAGACTTTTATAATAGATATCGATGATAAAAGGTTGGACAAGTCATTATACACTATCGAAAATGATGGTGGTATGGTAAAAGATCGAGATGNCGAGATGCTGAAATTGATGCAAAAGAGCCATATACAACAAAGACAACAGCGGACAACCCTCCACCAACAGATCTCGATCCTCTCATCGAATACGCCGAAGAACCTCTCTTATCACTTGAAGAAGCTTGTGCTCCGCTAGATAGTATTCTCCATAATTTATCATTCTATGTTCAAATGGCACTTGATGAAACACCAAAGGAACCGCCAGATGATTTAACCATCGATGAGAGTGCAGCTATTCGTCTATATTCAATTGAATGGTCAGCACCACATCGTAGCCTTTATTACATGCTCAACTATACATTGAAGACGTGTCCTCGTTCGGAACTGCAACCTTATTTCAAATACATGAAACTTTTCTTAAGTGCTCTGGTGAAATTACCATGTGTTCCACCGTTGACGGTTTGGAGAGGTGTGACGAAAAACTTGAGCGCAGAATTTCCTCCTGGAACTCCTGTTACATGGTGGGCGTTCTCGTCGTGTACGACTGAATTGACTGTTCTGGAAAATAATATGTATTTGGGTAACGAAGGTAGTCGAACACTGTTTTCAGTCGAAGTGTTCAATGGCCGAACAATACGTGCTCATTCTCACTTCGTCACGGAAGAGGAAATACTTCTTCTACCTGGTACTCATATGATTGTTCAATCATTATTTAGTCCAGCACCTGATCTTCATATTATCCATTTGAAACAAGTGATTCCTGAAGTAACCTTACTCGAACCTCCCTTCGAAGGTAGATGAAGAGCTTTCCGATTCACTTTCACGAGTTAGTTGACTTCTATATTTAGGCGCTCATATCTATCCAAAGATCAAGTAAGCCCCTACTTTCACAATTGACAGGGAATTCTAAAGTATTCTTTTAGACGTTCATGGTATCGCAAGAAAAGGTATAATATTCCAATATGCTTATTAGCACTTTTAGTTGTTGGAGCAATTATTCTGGGATGTGTGTTAGGTCTAAGATCGACGACTAAAACACCAGGTATTCTTTCTGATTAAGATCTATAGTGAATACACAACAGTGACCTATCTAATTTCAGCATATGTTTGCATGGAACCATATATAACCTCATCAAGTTTCACAACTGGATCTTCTCCAAGTTATCTGGTGGTGGCAGATTTTAATAACGACACAAACTCAGATGTAGCAGTTCTAACCCAAGATACCTATCCACTTTATGTTTTATTTGGCAACAGTGGAGGAACTTTTCCAACTGAAATAACTTTTGTAACTGGAATTTCTCCCTATTGTGTTGCAGCAGCTGATTTGAACAAAGATAACATCACGGATTTAATCATAGCGAATCAAGACGACAATGCACTCAGTGTACTTCTTGCTAATAGTGATGGTTCATTTGGTATTCAGACTCGATTTCAAGTCGGTGTCAGTGTGGGATCCGTTGCAGCAGCTGATGTTAATAATGATCAAATTCTAGATCTTGTAGCAACTGACCTTAAAGAAAATACCGTAAGCGTTCTATTAGGTCTTGGTGATGGAACATTCTCCGACCGTACATTTTATCCAACTGGCAATCGGCCTCGTTCAGTAGCGACAGGTGACTTGAATAATGACTCAATCATCGATCTGTCAATAGTCAATCAGAATGATGGTACTATTAGTATATTACTTGGTAATGGCAATGCTACATTCCAGGACCAAGTTATTTATCATGTTGATCCAAACGCAGATAATTCGATAACACGTGACTTTAACTATGATGGCATACTGGATCTAGCAGTATCCAATCATGGAACTGACAACATTGGTATATTGATAGGTAATGGTGATGGAACATTTCAAGATCAGTACAGATTTAACACCCAGTCTGGACCCAATAGCATGAATGCTGCTGACTTTAACAATGATGGCATACTAGACTTGGCAGTTCCTAATATGTATTCGGATACTTTCTGTGTATTGTTTGGAAATTTAAATGGTACTTTCCAGGATTGTGTGCCGTATCCTGCAGGAGCTACTCCTAGCGGTATTGCTTTTGGTGATTTTAATCATGATAACTATACGGATATAGTAGTGACTAATTACAACGACAGATCTGTTAGTGTACTTCTCAACCGTGGAAATGGAACATTTCAGCCACAAACGAAATATGCCGTTGGTTCCGGAGCAAGAGCAGTGGTATCATTTGATGTTAATCTAGATAATCATCTGGATTTAGTTATCATTTGCCTAAGCGATACAAAAAACTATATTCTATTAGGCAGTGGAAACGGACTTTTTGAAGGTCGAATACCGTATGCAATGGAACAAAATCATCAATTTATGACATCAAGTGACATTAACAATGATAAGATGTTAGATCTAATACTGATCTATAATAATAACATGCTTCGTATATTATATGGTAGTGCAGATGGTACGCTTGGAAATCAAATAGATTATTCACTTCCATTCAATGCTACTTTTGTATTAACTGCTGATTTCAATAATGATTCAAATTTGGATTTAGCATTGACTAATCAATATAACAATTCCATCACTATATTGTTGGCTGGGAAAAATCATACTTTCAATACCGATAATACCTTCCAATTTCCGGTGGGTAATCAGCCAACTTCGCTAACCACGGGATACTTCAATGATGATAACATCTTAGATTTAGCAGTGAGTAATTATTATGGAAAAAATGTTAGTGTATTATTTGGAGAAGGTAATGGAACATTCCAGTCTCATACTATGTACAAAACCGGTCCCAATCCGTATTCCATCATATCTATTGATTTCAATAATGATCACTATATGGATTTAGTTACCGCCAATCAGGGTGAAAATACTGTTAGTGTTTTGTATGGTAATCAGAACGGAACTTTTCAGACATTGATGAAATTCAAAGTAGGAACCGGACCAACTACTTTGCTCTCAGGTGATTTTAATCGCGATGACAAAATCGATATCGTTGTTGTCAACCAAGGAGCCAACGACATCACCATATTATTTGGTAATGGAACTACAAGTCTTCTTTTTCAAGAAACATATGCAACACATGTCTGGCCAAGTGCTTTGGCTTCAGCTGACTTCAATAAAGATAACAAAATCGATTTAGTAGTTACAAATAAGAATTCTGGTGACATGACCATTTTTCTGAATGCATGTCTGTAATCATTGGAAAGGCTATTGGTGATTTGTTTAAATTATAGAGGTTAATATGAAGACATTTTTATATCGACTCTATTCCTGTACATTTCTAATTACATGAAAGTGTGATGTGTTCGATTTTTGAAATAAAGATTATTCTCTCATGTTCAAAATATCCTGTAAACCTTGTTTTAGTAGTTGCTACTCGACCATGAAGATACTACGTCCTCATTCTTTTGAGTTTCTCTTTCTATAGAGAAATAACATATTCTTAGTCTCTGATACACAGCGCACTCCACATTGAGGGCGAGTCAAATCACGGTGCACATTACGTTTCTTCCATCATCAATATGAAGATATCAATACCAATCGTTATATAATATCATAGAGACAACTATTCAATGTAATTTTTCATTTCCTTTGGCTATGGCATTGGGTTTTACCAAACGACGAACTGCTATAAAATAGCGTCGCAAAAACTTTTTGACACGACAAATTCATAATCACCATAAATCGATCAGATATCTCTGTTCACGATGATAACCAGTCAATTATCGAGTGGACATTCATTATAAATAATTTTCTACTGCTCTGTCATGGTAATTCAAAGGCAGTGTTGAATAACTTTAACTAAATAAACTATATTTTAGCTCAATAAGTTTGTTTGTTTGTTGAAGTCAACCCTCAAGTATACCAGAGTACAAACTCATATGACTGCTGTTTGATCAACAGTGCCTGTGGATGTCTCCCTGCAACAGATACTCAGAATACTAGTGGTTGTGCTTTTCTGTAGAAATTCTGTTCCCGCCTCTCTCTATGTGAATCATTGTAGGATCGTTATCTAATGGTAACCCAAAAGTGTTTCACCTAAACGGTTTTCTCTTTGAGTTTTGGAAATAGAAGTTAACGAATGGAAAACAGAACGTAGTGATCATTGTGGGAGGATATGGAGAAGGATGCCAATGAAATCAGTTTCGTTATGAACACGGCATGTTTTTTGATGAAGACATGAAGGTTTTAGTGGGGGATAATTATAGTCATCGCATTATGAAATGGAAATCGGGCGAAACTCAAGGAGCAGCTATTGCTGGTCAAGTTGGCCAAGAAAAAACAGAGAAGTAATTCGATGGTTCAGTGAGACTTATCACAAAATTCTCATTGAAAATATTTCATGTTATGATCTATGAATGGACAAATATGGATTTCTTTGTGTTTCTGACATCGTCAAAGACGAGACTGAGAAGGTGGAAAATCAGAGAAAACAAGGAACATTGGTGACTGGTAGGGATGGCCGAGGAAATCAATTTACGGATCCTACTATTAGTGTTGTTGGTGATGAACAATCTGTTTACGTCACCGATCGTGAAAATGATTGTCTCCTGAAAGGGAGAAAAGATGCGATGGGAGATCTGATGCTAGTTGATGGAAATGGTAATGAATCACGACGAAATCAATTAAATGCTCACATCAATTTATCGTTTGACACGGATCAAAATCTTTATGTTAGTGATATGGCAAATAACCGAATCCAAAAATTTGATTTAGCTATTTTTAAAAAGAAGAGCTTTCAGTTCTCTAATCGCGATTACGAACAAGAGCTTCTCGCTATTTTCCCCATTGATTCACAAGGCTTAGGAAATGCTGTTCTGAAAATAAGCAAGAAAAAAATATCCACTTGCATCAAACATCACATTTGCTTACTTTTCAGGATTAGCTGTTTCCATAAATATATATGGGATCTACTTTACCTACATGCATCTATTCATATTTTGAGAGATTGACAATCATTTGGATGTGATATTCCGTGTTCCTATACGACCTATTAATGTATTTTCTTGTAGCTTTTCCGCACCATTCGATGTTGGGCGATTACATTTCATTTCCACGTCCTACATAACGTGTGGAAACCTAAATTCCCGCAGGATGGTGCAGTTCCTTTTAGCAAAAAAAAAGAACGTAGAGCAGTACAAATTCATACTACTAATCTTTGCTATATATAAATCAAAACGCCACGTAAGTCATATAAATGAGATTATCATGACATTTGTTCGTTTGGTCTCCATTTTTGAGAAGAAAAGCCTGAAAATATTAATCTCTATAGTTAATCATTCCGTCGCTGGCGAAATAAAAAAGAGAACCTGTTACTTATATCAACAAATTTGAGCAAATATGTCAACTGAAATGGATCTCGTCTCTTCTCTCAGCTACGCAACAACGCAGATCAATCGTCATGTAGCAACATTTCTTCTTCTATTCGGTACTCTCGGCAATTTACTCAACATTTACGTTCTAAACGAACACTCATTTCATGAGAATCCTTGTTCGATCTATCTCTCTTGGTCATCAATAACAAGTTCGATCTTTATTTGGTCGGGCTTTTTAACACGAGTCTTACAAGGGTAACTTAGCAGTGTCAACTATTAGTCCCTAAAACTAAACTTTTCATTGTAGTTATAATATCAATTGGCCCAATCAGAACTCCATTGCGTGCAAAACTCGTCAACTTTTGCTCAATGTTACTTGGCCAATGGGTATCTGGTGTCTTGTAGGAGCGAGTATCGATCGATATTTATGCAGTCATTCATCGGCTAGGTATCGCCTGTTTAGCACAAATCTCATAGCAAAGCGTTTTGCACTCGCAATATTTATTTTCTTTTGTTGTTTATTCGTCGAAGTACTTTATTGTTTTGAAGGAAGTATTCCGAACGTTCCAGTTCTTTGCTATGGTCAAAACATACCTTGTCGGCTATTTAATGACTGGGCTGCCCTATCATTCGATATTATTTTACCAAGTTTTTTCTTGGCTGTATTTGGTGCGTTGACCATTCGAAATATTCGTCAAAGAAGTGTTCGTCCAGTCATCGATTCAGAAGTTCGATCCAACCGTAGGTCAACAATGCGCGCGAATGATCGTAATCTTACACGAATGTTATTGATCCAGGTAAATTTCATCCTTTTGCTCGTTTAATTAAGTACGACTTTTATTTTGAAGGTACTGTTCATTCTTGTTTTGGATTTACCATTCGGTATTTATCGTCCATATGCAAGTTTAACTTCGAATATTCCAAAAAGTTCCTATCGAGCAGCTGTCGAAAATCTAACGTATTCTGTGATTGTACTTCTTATTTGTGTGACCCATTCCACTTCATTTTATCTGTATACACTTACTGGTTCAGTATATCGCCGTGCATTCAAACAAATTGGACAGCGTTGGCTCAATCGAATCCGATTAATTCATCAGTAATAAGACAATTATCGCTTTTTAGCTGAACAGATTGACATCGTTACAAAAAATTTTGAAGATTTTGAGTATTGTCTTTAGCTAAATAAATCGTTATCCATCATAATTCTTGTCGAAGTAAAGCCCCCTTGCCCTTACCCTCATAAACAATTTCATAGATTATTAGATCACTCAGGAGACTTTAGTTGAATTGCACCAAAAAGCTTTTCTCTCAGGCATGAACTTTCAATCAAATATATAGAAGTGGATCATTATCATGTTCATCTGATAGATAAATAAGATAATAAGGCGCTAATTTGGATAATTTCTTCGTCCTTTATTTTACAATCACGAAAATAATAAATCTTTGCTAAGAAGTCAAGCTTTGGTTGGTTTGTCATCGTATAAACACCTTGGATATCTTTCTTCTAAATAAACTTCCGGTCATTAAGTTCACGTATCCACCAATACTGTACATGTTCAAGACATCGATAAATTAAAAGTAACACATTGAGACGATTGTTCTTTGGTAATTTAGCAAACGTTCGTCTAAATGCCCACTTACCCCGATCGTCCCACGGCCTTCAATTATAACCATCAATAATTAAATTTAATATTTCCATTTGTCTTTGACATTCCACACTGAATAATAATAAATGTACAAGCTAAAAATATTTTCAATCATTATAGGAAGTTTTCGACGGATGATAATAAAGCCGCTGGTATATTGAATACAATAGCGAATGTCAAACATCGTCATTTGTATCAAATTCAACGTCATCATAGGCTTCTAAAACATCAGTATTCAATAGATTAAGTGTTTTAAACATGTCAGTCGCCGGTTTCAGCAAGGACTTTTGCGTAGATTCAAGAACATTCGGATTAACAAGCTGGAAGGTGTTCAGAGCTTTTTCAAGATAAAATCGTTTTAATATGTATTTACCACACTGTAAACGTGTACTTTTTGCAAGTACTAGTGTGTCTTAAAGATCCTATTGTTGAAAAATATCGGCAAAGTTTGTCATTGGTAATCACTAAATTTGTGTATGATGATCGACGAGAGAGTTGCTCATATTGATCTGAATCAGAGTAAATGTAAAACATTGGATCATGTCAATGAGTAAATTCAAGTGTTTATTCAGTAGAATAGAATTTTAAGCAATAATTTAAACTAAGAAATGCTCGAACAGTTACATAAGTATCATTAGTATATCCTAAGATAAGCATTAAAATTTCATCAAAGGCGTTTTGAATGCCGTCAGCATGTGGTGCGTGTTTTTTTTCTGGAATAAAAGTTTGTCATCGGAAGTATGTTTAAATTACACGAATATGATATTTAAACTCATGTAATCGTTGTTTCGAAAGGTATTGATGAAGTTTTCACTATAGAATCGAATAAATATATTAGAATTAGACTCATGCGCATTTTTCTTCAGTATCCAGGATAAGGATTAAACTTGTCTGTGTCATGAAGGTTTAATACACTGTCATTCTGTCAAGGCAAATGAATATATGTATGAAAGTAAAAGTCGCTACCACTCACAACTTCTCTTCCAAAAGTCTGGGTAACATGTCGGCATCATCCGATGACTACATCATCTATTTGTCATTAATACAAAAGAATCTATATGCATACGGTGGTCCAATTGTTGTCATTCTTGGTACAATATGTTGTGCAATCAGTTTGTTGGTCTTCTCTCAAAAGAAACTGCGCAAAAATCCATGTGCTATGTATTTAATCGCAGTTAACATGTCGAGTGTCTTATATATTTATTTATCAATATTGATAGTGGTCTTAGGATTGGGTTATAATATCGATCTAAGTTCATATAATATTATTATTTGTCGATTTATTTACTATTTTTCTCTATTGTTCGATGGTCTTAGTTCATTTTACTTGATCTTAGCTTCGATTGATCGAGTTTTAGTCACTTCACGCAGTGCTCTGATCCGACAACGAAGCACTCGTCGTTTGGCTGTTGTGTCTCTTACACTGGGAACAATATTCTGGATGGTATTCCACTGTCACACATTCATTTTCATCATCAAGCAAGAATTAGCACCAGGTTACTTTGTTTGCTACTTTCAAGCAGGTTTATATGCGGCTCTTGTTGGATATTACTCAACTATCAAGGTAGTTCTCACATCTTTATTGTTGATCATTTTTGGAGTTTGGACGCGGCAAAATCTTCAAAATATCCATCGTCGACAAATCGTTCCTGCAAACAATACGATCATGCATTCAATCGGTGAAAAAGACACAATAGTTCACTTAAAGAATCGCCAATTTGCACTGATGTTATTGATGGAAATCTTGATTTACATTACCTTCACGTCGATGTTATGTATCGTCGGTGTCTATCAGCAAATAGCCAAGAACGAAGCGCAAGCCGCGTTCAATTATTTCATTCGTATTATCGGCACTTTTGTTTCGTACGCGCCACTATTCGCAAATTTTCTCGGAAATTTGTTCATTTCAAAAACGTTTCGGTCGGAAGTGAGACGAATATTTTCGTGTCAATGACATTTCTTTTTTTGTATTACGAAATAGATAGTGGCGAGGCAAGAAGATTATAATCTTTTTTTATCGCAGTTCCGCTTTGCTTGTGAGCTCAACGTTGGATGAACCTCAGAGAAACAGTGTGTCGACTTCTGGTTGAATATTTTATTAAAGAAAAGGATTTAGACTTTCTATCTCAAGGTTATAAATGTAAAAATACCATAATGTCAGCTACAACTCTTCATCGAAGCGATGAATCTGTCTCATGTGAACTTTCAAATCTTGTCGATTATTGAAATCTTCGTTACATAACGAGCAGTTCAGTTCATATTGTATGACGGTAGCATTGGTTCCATTCGATTTCTTATGAGATGACAAATTCCCTGCAAAATCAACGTACACATTCACTTGCTCAGTTTGTNCAGCACTTGATCTTCATATTATCCATTTGAAACAAGTGATTCCTGAAGTAACCTTACTCGAACCTCCCTTCGAAGGTAGATGAAGAGCTTTCCGATTCACTTTCACGAGTTAGTTGACTTCTATATTTAGGCGCTCATATCTATCCAAAGATCAAGTAAGCCTCTACTTTCACATCTGACAAGGAATGCTAAAATATTCTTTTAGACGCTCATGGTATCGCAAGAAAAGGTATAATATTTCAATATGCTTATTAGCGATTTTAGTTGTTGGAGCAATTATTCTGGGATGTGTGTTAGGTCTAAGATCGACGACTAAAACACCAGGTATTCTTTCTGATTAAGATCTATAGTAAATACACAACAGTGACCTATCTAATTTCAGCATATGTTTGCATGGAACCATATATAACCTCATCAAGTTTCACAACTGGGTCTTCACCAGATTATCTGGTGGTGGCGGATTTTAATAACGACACAAACTCAGATGTAGCAGTTCTAACCCAAGATACCTATCCACTTTATGTTTTATTTGGCAACAGTGGAGGAACCTTTCCAACTGAAATAACTTTTGTAACTGGTACTTCTCCCTATAGTGTTGTAGCAGCTGATTTGAACAAAGATAACATCACGGATTTAATCATAGGAAGCGAAGACGACAATGCACTCAGTGTACTTCTTGCTAATAGTGATGGTTCATTTGGTATTCAGACTCGATTTAAAATTGGTGCCAGTGTGGGTTCCGTTGCGGCAGCTGATGTTAATAATGATCAAATTCTAGATCTTGTAGCAACTAACCTTAAAGAAAATACCGTAAGCGTTCTATTAGGTATTGGTGATGGAACATTCTCCGATCGTACATTATATCCAACCGGCAATCGCCCTCGTTCAGTAGCGACAGGTGACTTTAACAATGACTCAATCATCGATCTGTCAATAGTCAACCAGGATGATGGTACTATTAGTATATTACTTGGTAATGGCAATGCTACATTTCAGGACCAAGTCATTTATTATGTTGATCCAGGCGCAGATAATTCGATAACACGTGACTTTAACTATGATGGCATACTGGATCTAGCAGTATCTAATTATGTAACTAACAACATTGGTATATTGATAGGTAATGGTAATGGAACATTTCAAGATCAGTACAGATTTAACACCCAGTCTGGACCCAATAGCATGAATGCTACTGACTTTAACAATGATGGCATACTAGACTTGGCAGTTCCTAATTGGAATTCGAATACTTTCTGTGTATTGTTTGGAAATTTAAATGGTACTTTCCAGGATTGTGTGCCGTATCCTACAGGAGCTATGCCTAGCGGTGTTGCTTTTGGCGATTTTAATCATGATAACTATACGGATATAGCAGTGACTAACTACGCCGACAAAACTGTTAGTGTATTTCTCAACCGTGGAAATGGAACATTTCAGCCACAAACGAAATATGCCGTTGGTTCCGAAGCAAGAGCAGTGGTATCATTTGATGTTAACCTAGATAATCATCTGGATTTAGTTATCATCTGCCATGGAGATACAAAAAATTACATTCTATTAGACAGTGGAAACGGACTTTTTGAAGGTCGAATACCGTATGCAATGGAACAAAATCATCAATTTATGACATCAAGTGACATTAACAATGATAAGATGT